TACAGCTTCTCAAAATGTCACTTTGTTTTTACGTTTGGATTGGATTAAAAAAAAGATTATTTTCAGTTCGTGCACAAACTCGTGTCATGATCTTTAGTCTGGGACGAGATCATGACTCAAGTTCCTAAAGAAAATGATAAAAAAAACTCAATCCAGCGTCGACTCGTCGTGAACTCTTCATCTCAAAACAGAAACGACGTGTGGCGCAGTTTTTTTTTTCCTGCTGCTTCCTCAAAAACTCTGGGTCAAAAAGCGACGGTTTGAAACGACACATTTATAGATCGAGAGGAAACACGCGCCGACGTTTCAGCTCGACTCAGCACAAACCGACGACCGACAGGAAGTCACCGGACACAAACAGGAAGTCGGGATAAAAGGGAACAGGAATTCTGACCAACGTTTGTGAACTTAAAAACCGTGTAAACCTAAACGTGGTTTCTGGAGGTTTGTGTGTCGACGTGTGAATGAAACAAAAACATTCAACACGAGCTCTTCTGGTAAATTACTCTAGACACTTTGTGATGTCATCATGTGGCGATAAAAAAGGTCTGCCGCTTTTTTTTATTTTTATTTTGTAATAACTCCACAAACCTTCACTAGAATCATTTCAGTCTCTCCTGAACTACAGGGAAAAGCAGCAGATCATTTGGAAACCACCACGTCATGACATCACAAGGTGGAATTTTAAGAGCTTTGGAGACGTGAGCTTTAAGCCATGTTCATGACTTTGGAATATTACATCAGAAACACAATCCTTTATTTGTCCGTCTACAAGAGTCAGTTTTGTGTAATATACGACCGAAACGTAATAAATCTGAGTCTGAAATTAAGATTTATTAAAAACTAAAAGTACAACTGATTATTCTTTAAAATAAACTCATTGTAAAAAGTCTGGACACAGCTTCACTGGAATCATTTCAGTCCCAGAAATTCAAACCTCAACTACACAAAAAGGTAAAGGAGCTGTGAACTTGAGCCACGTCATGACATCACAAGGTGGAATTAAGAGCGTTTTTAGTTTTGGAGATGTAGACGGACTAAAAGGATTGCGTTTTTGATGAAGCTTTAAGACGATTTTAGAATGTTACGTCGAGTCAAGTTTGTGGCCCATTTCAAAAATTTATATTGAAATTAAGATTTAATAAAATAAAAAAAATACAACTGATTTTTTTTTTTTTTTTTTTAATGAACTAATCATAAAAAGTCTGGACACAGCTTCACTTGAGTCTCGAGTCCTGGAGTCATTCATCTCCACTGAACTGAAGGGAAAAGGAACAATTCACTTGAAAACCACCACGTCATGACATCACAAGGTGGAACTTTAAGAGCGTTCTGAGCTTTGGAGATGGAAACAGATTAATAAAAAGGGTCATAAAAAAAACAGATTAAAATCATTAGAACACGGCTTTAAACTCACAGGAGGCAGTTTGGTGTCATACAGAACCTTTCAATGTCAAATAACAGACTTTGAAATTAAGTTTTAAAAATATAAAAACCACAAAGATCAAAACTGCTGATTTTTTTTATTTCATTTATTTTTATACGGAGTAAAAGGGTCAGATAAAAACAAACAAACAAACAAGCTGGTGCTACGAGAATAAAGTCGTAACATTTCGACATTAAAGTCGTAGTCAAAATAAAGTGGTCATATCAGGAGAATATCTCAGTCCCGGTCTCAGTCCCGGTCTCAGTCCCGGTCTCAGTCCCGGTCTCAGTCCCGGTCTCAGTCCCGGTCTCAGTCCGGTCTCAGTCCCGGTCTCAGTCCCGTCTCAGTCCGGTCTCAGTCCCGGTCTCAGTCCGGTCTCAGTCCGGTCTCAGTCCCGGTCTCAGTCCCGGTCTCAGTCCCTCAGCCCGGTCTCAGTCCCGGTCTCAGTCCGGTCTCAGTCCGGTCAGTCGGTCTCAGTCCGGTCAAATAAGAAAATAGTTTTTTCATTTTCTTATTTTTGTTTTATATTGAACAACAAGGTTCTTCTTCTGAAGCATTTTTCACTTTGACTTTGATTTTATTACAACTTTATTCTCATAAAATTGACTTTTTCTGGCTTTTGATTTATTCTCATAATATTACGACTTTAATGTTGAAATGTTACGACTTTATTCTCGTAGCACCAGCATGTTTTTTTGTAGTTTTTTTTATCTGACCCTTTTACTCCGTCGATTTTTTAATAGTCGACTAATCGTACAAAGTCTGGACCGTCACTAGAATCATCGGCTGAATTTGCTGAGGTCGTCTCTGGACGTCTCAGTCCAGTCATGACATCACAAGGTGGAATTTTAAAAGCGTTCGAAGCTTTGGAGATGGAAACAGATTAATAAAAAGGGTCATAAAAAAAACAGTTTAAAATCATTAGAACACGGCTTTAAACTCACAGGAGGCAGTTTGGTGTCATACAGAACCTTTCAATGTCAAATAACAGACTTTGAAATTAAGTTTTAAAAATATAAAAACCACAAAGATCAAAAACTGCTGATTTTTTTTTATTTCATTTTTTTAATTTTTATACGGAGTAAAAGGGTCAGATAAAAACACAAACAAACAAGCTGGTGCTACGAGAATAAAGTCATAACATTTCGACATTAAAGTCGTAGTCAAAATAAAGTGGTCATATCAGGAGAATATCTCAGTCCCGGTCTCAGTCCCGGTCTCAGTCCCGGTCTCAGTCCCGGTCTCAGTCCCGGTCTCAGTCCCGGTCTCAGTCCCGGTCTCAGTCCGGTCTCAGTCCCGGTCTCAGTCCCGGTCTCAGTCCCGGTCTCAGTCCATCCCGGTCTTCCGGTCTCAGTCCCGTCTCAGTCCCGGTCTCAGTCCCGGTCTCAGTCCCGGTCTCCAAATAAGAAAATAGTTTTTTTCGTTTTATATTGAAAACAAGGTTCTTCTTCTGAAGCATTTTTCACTTTGACTTTGATTTTATTACAACTTTATTCTCATAAAATTGACTTTTTCTGGCTTTGATTTATTCTCATAATATTACGACTTTAATGTTGAAATGTTACGACTTTATTCTCGTAGCACCAGCATGTTTTTTGTAGTTTTTTTTATCTGACCCTTTTACTCCGTCGGATTTTTAATAGTCGACTAATCGTACAAAGTCTGGACCGTCACTAGAATCATCGGCCAATGTCCAATGAACTACAGGGAACAGGAGCTGTTCACTTCATGACATCACAAGGTGGAACTTTAAGAGCGTTCGGAGCTTTGGAGATGTAGACGGACTAATGAAGGAACAACATTCTAAAATCATTAGTTTAAATCTCGAGAGTCAATTTGTGTGAAATATACGACCTTTAAATAAAGATCAGATTTTGAATTCAAGTTTTAAAAACTAAAAAAAAAAAAAAAAAAAAGTCTGGCAAATCCAGGAGTCTTGGTTCAGTCGAGGTTGGACACAGCTTCACTAGAATCATAATTAAAAGGTTCACTTAGAAACTACCACGTCATGACATCACAAGGTGGAGCAGAGCGTTTGAGTAAATCTTTATTCTGAGTCTGTTACGTCTCCAAACAAAAACACAGAACTCCAGCCGTTTCTCAGGAGGAACATGAGAACATGAGAACATGATTCACTCTCAGGTTTGTGGAAAAACTTTAAATTCACTTTTGTGTTTTATTTTAAACGAATAAATTAAACGCAGACGGTTTAACTTCAGCGTCGGGTTAAAGGACGACAGGTCGACTCGTCTGATTAGGAGAGACAATAGATCAATAGTCAACAATAGTGTCCCGCCCCCGCCCCTGTCCCTGCCCCCTGCCCCCCCTGTCCCTGCCCCCGTCAGGTGTCGTTAAATCTCTGGGTGTTAAATGTAAATGAGTTTTTCTTTGTTCAGGTGTGAATCCTGCAGCCACAGAAACCGGAGCCAACGTGAAAATCTCCTCCTCAAACATCTGAGGAGCCACTGCAGGCGTGAAAAGCCCCACGACGGAACTTTTTGGTCTGGAAAGTTCCACAGTGTGACATTAACCAACTACCTGCTATTTTACATTTATTCAGTTCCAGCAGGTTTAGAGCTAAAAAAACAAACAAACATCCTGATAAACTGAGCTGAAGTTCAGTTTGTCTCCATGGAGAAAAAGAAAAAACTAAACATTTGACGTAAAGTGACTCTGCAGCTTTGAGTCACAGTTTTGCTCAGATTATTTCTACTTCCTAAAAAACACAAAACTTGAGCTTCAGGAGTTTGAAGACACAATTTATGACACAAATAAAAACCACGAACAACAGCTGAGAAAAAAAAACTAAACACCACTTCAGAAAAACGACAAGAGTCCAGACGCAGATTTAAACTAAACATTTAACCAAAAAAAAAAAAAAAAAACTACTCTAGAGGAAAAACAGGAACAACTCAAGGATTTGATCTGAACAAGAAACACAAGAACCTGCAGCTGAGAGACGAGAGAAAAGACAGAAAGACAAAGAGACAAGGAAAAGAGACTGAAAAAAAAAAAAAACAAAATACAAAAAAATATGAATAAAAATATTGAGACAGAAAGACAGTTTAAAAAAAAAAAAAGAAAGAAAAGAAAGACAATGACAGAAATACTTTGTGCACACTGGACATTTGGAGTTTAAACTCTGGAGTTTCTGTTCATTAAAATGGTAAAGTGTCTTTACTTTTGTATAAATGAGTTAAATTGAACAGATTTCACTTTGGGAAATGTTTAACTTCACAAGAACCAGAGTCACTCAACATGACTGAGAAAAAAACAACATTAACGCAGGATTAGAGATTTTTCTACACCTAAAAACACAAATTGATTAATTACCCACAGCCGCACGTGCAGCCAATTAACTAATCCAGAAAAAAAAAACTGTTCCACAAGAGTCACGTGACCTGATTTTCAAAATAAAAAAACAAACACTGGGACATCTCAGGTTTGTGGAAATGAAGTTGTAAATTGAGTGCGTGAAATTTTTTTTTTTTTTACTTTTTATTACTTACTTTGTATTTTACCAAAACAAATGAGTTTTCAGGAGGAGATTGGTCAAAAAGAGACACTGGGACAT